GGTACTGCCTCGGAAGCTGGAGGTTCCACTGCCGGCTGGTTCCTCTTCTCATCTCCAGCCCCATGGGAGCTTCCCACCTTGACACCGTCGTCATTAGCAGTCACCGCAGCAGACGATTCCAGTTGAGCTTGCCGGTTGGTATATTCCACTTTCCAACCTCGAACTACCCACAAGCACAACGACGCACCAATATACATAAACCCGGTGAAGATCTGAACCCTCAAGTAAACAGAGTCGTTGGAGTTGTTGTCCCGCAAGACAAGAGCGATAGCCTCAGAAACAGTCGTAGGAGCAACGAGAATGATCCAAGTAATGCTAAGACCGCTGGGCAGGTCTCTCAAGCCTATGATCTCTGCAAGCACAGGCGTAACAGTTGCCCAGTACGTACCAGCCACGGTACCAACAAGGACCGCAAAGAAGCAAACTACGCCCATGCTGCGCGCAAAGATCCAAATAACTAGACAGAACAAACCACAGCAGAAAGAAAGAAACGTAGCAATATTGATGCGACCGAGTTTGTCGCTGAACATGCCCACAAAGGGACGACCGAGGCCTTGACCAAGATTCAGCAAGGCACTAACAATACTACCCTGGTGGGATGAAAGGCCGACCGAGAGGGCGAAGTTAGCTACGCTGAATAGGAGGGCGACATAGCCTAGCATACTGAAAACGCCCCAGCCGAGAAAGAGGAGAAACTCAGGGCGTTTGAATAACGGGAAGTGGAAGGCTTTGTGACGACTTCCAACGTCTTTGTTGCGGTCTTTTATGAGGTTTGCGCATATTAGGTTGACGACGCATGCAATGATGCCCAAGATTCGGAAGGCCCAGCTAAGTCCCAGTCGAGGGATCATGGAGCCTACTGCGAGGGACCAGATCAGCCCCCCCAGGCCGGACCCGGCGGCGTTGATGCCCATCGCGAGACTCCGTCGTCGCTGGAACCATTGAGGGATAATGCCTACGCTTCCAACGAAGAGAAACCCCATCCCCCATCCGAAACAGACGCCTTGGCTAAGGAAAATATGCCATCTTTGCGTGGCGAAGGATGATCCTATCAGTGAAAGGGTCTCAAAAAAGACGCCCAGGTTTAAGACAAGACGTGTCCCATAGACATGGATCAGGTGGGTGGCCAAAGGAGCAACCAAGAGAGCACAGGATATGCTCAGACCACCGGTGAAGGCGTACGAGAGTGCAGAGGTGTTGGGGAATACATCGTGCGAAAGATAATAAGAGAGGAATACACCGTAACTCTTAACTAGCGGTCAGCCCATCCCGACTTTCTATGAAGGGACAATGAACATTAGGAGACGAACACTGTTAATTCCCCATGTATGTGCATTGATCCAGAAGACACAGGCAACACAAACCCATCCATAGCCACCATCTGGGGGTACATCACTTTGGTACTTGTCTTCTAGGACCTCCGGAGCTGCGTCTTGCTGCTCTTCCGACTCGGTTTGATCCTGACAATGGTCTTTCCTATATAGTGGATCCTGCGAGATTAACTCACGGTCATAATCGCGAGAGCGGACTATATCGATAGGAGTGTTGTCTGCCATTCGTGCGACGGAAATAAATACTAGTAACGTGTGATTTTGCGTCTCTCCCTCCGCTTACTATACATGAGAGGACATAACTGTGCTCATGAAAGAATAGACCTTATAGATAGGATAGAGAGAAGGCTGAAGGAAAGTAGTCCAAGAAAATATGGGAACATGAGCTATTAGAAGTCCAAGTTGATGTGTCATGCATCCAACTGGAGACGCTACGACAGCCTGATAATCGCATCCTGCCGACAAGGATTCTTTGAACCACGGTAAAGACCCCGGCAGTCCCAGAGGCCGTCATTGGGCTAAGTGCCCCCGAAATTAATTGAGGGCGGATATAATGCCGAGTAGCCGGTGGAGCAAAGCTTGGGAGTTGGAGACGGAGGGAAATCCGGAGAAAGTTGGGGTATCGATTTGGTTGGTAAGCTCAAGAAAGGTCTCATTGTGCCAACAGGGGACGAATTGTACAGTACAGGGGAAATATTGAGTAATGAGATCTCCACGTGTGCCACATGATCTATGATTATATGCTCGTTTCATTTTCTGATATTACCAGCATGTCAAGGTAGGAATGCCCTAAAGATAGTACATACATCGGAGCTTTCTGACTGAGAGCAGATAAGGGGCCTGGTCAATGCCCGATGACGCTTGACCCATTGTAGAGACAATCTTAGGTCTTAGGGTTAGTATTGCCTACTGCGGTTAGTCTCTCGAGATGAACCCCCGCGTTGCCTTTGCGACCATGTGAAACCGGCGTTTGCACTGTTTGTAAGGGGTTTGTTGTTGTTTCCCCCCTTCAGTCATTCCAAATGCTTCGGTATTGTTACGGTTGTTATGATCAACTAAAAATCACCCCAATCAGTGCCAGACAGACTAACACTACAGAACAATATCATTTAATCAATTACTACCGTCCCTCCATTTAAGACTAACAGACTTTAAGCATATCTCTTTGTGATGATACTCTAATCGTCGCAGCGGGGCTGAAGAGATCTGTCTAGCCCAATCTATCAATGTGCCCACCCCAGCCACCTTCTGGAACATTATTGGCTCACTGATCAATTATATGGGAAACTGACTTCATAGCTGAACAACACATCAATCGACTCTGATGCCTCTCAGGATACCCTTCCCTTGAAGACTCTCTTCCAGGCCAACACCACACCATGTATAGACCATATCTGCACCATAACAAGACCAAAGATGGCCAACGGAAGGTCTCCCCTCCCGGGCCATCATACATGTCCGACGATCAGGTTGGTAAGTCTACATTGTTAGCGGCGTAATAACATTCTTCACTCTGCAAGGTTTTGGTGGTGTGATCGTAATTTTTATTTTTGGAACTTATCTCCTTGATACTATGTGGCTAACCTTTTCTCCTGTGCAGCAAATTATCTGAAGGATCTCCGGACAAATAGGCCAACCCGCCCAGGCGGATCGAGGCCACTCCCTACGAAGCCAGCTGATTCGGATCCTCGAGAGGACCTCCCTCCAAGGGCAGCATCAGCGATGTCTTCATATTCATATTCAAGGATGCCGTCAACCACTACAGCGGGCGATAGGGATCCGCCCCGCGCTACCAGTTCTTTATCTAACCATCGCCCTGTATCTTCTCGAGGATCCATAGGCAGTCCGGCTGGACGACCGCTGGTCCAAGAACCCCGAATGGTACCTGTGCGGAAGAATATCTCTCCAACGCGGGTTTTCTCTCGTCCCAGTCCTCCATCTCCAAACGCAGCATATCGCGAGAGTTACCGACGTCGGTTTGAAAGGGAGGAAGCCCAATCCCTCCGAGATGCACTGCAGGAGATGGATATCCAAGATGACATTCGCCTCCATCAAGCTGCCCAGGATGAGGCCACAGAACTGGTTTGGATGCACCAAAACCCTGGATTGCCCTTCAAGAACCCATACGCTCCTTATCGTAATCCCGATATGGAAAGACTTAGTCAAGGATCAGATAAGAGTAGCGCTTTAATTAGTCACACTCTCGCTTCCAGAAGCCCACGGCGGGACAGTTATCGTCCCATGTCAGACTACTACTCGGACTCACCCAGAAGACGCGCTGAGGAACAGGAGCCTGCTTTGGACGAACAAAACTCCAGCCCCAGAAAGAATGGCACACTTCGAAAGAATCCCAAAGTTGACTTTTCCTTGCCTCAAAATGGGAGCCCATCAAAACGATCGAGCAGTGGCTACGGATTAGGCCTTGCGAATACCGGCAATGGTTCGTCAAAGAGTGTTTTTCGAAACCCCAATGACCACATATATGAAGAGCCTGGAGAGTCCCAGAATGTGGAGGATGATGAACGTCTTGATTTCTCAAAATCTGATTCGTCAGCCTTAAAAGTCAAACCACGTAATGCCCTGCCTCGAGGTTCGAGGCCCCTCTCTGGCCGATTTGGCAGCCTTTCGTTTGTCGATAAACTCTCTCGTTTTGAGCTACACAAGCACCCCCCAACGCAGTCAAGAAATCCTGAGTATAAGGCCAACGATCCCCTCCCCCAGGCAAATCCGAATGATGAACAAGCCATCCTGAAAAAAGATGGAATTGAGATTCGGAGCGACGAAATTAGAGCAGCGACAAGTAAGAAGCTCAAAGACCGAAGTATAAGGCTGCCCATGCCAACTGCCGTGAGTGATCGCGCCGGCCGACCGATTGTGAGCTTTGATCCAACCTGGAAGCCCACTGAGGCCCAATCCCCAGGCAAAGGTGTCGACGTTGGAACGCGTGAATCCGCTTCACCAACCCCACCCCCCGCACCTGCTGCTCCTACAATTGAGGTATCTGAAGCGCCTTCTATCCCAGTGATTAACTTACCGGATGACAAGCCACCTACTATTTCTGAGATGGCAGGGTCGTCAGAGGACCGTAATAAAGATGATAGCTCGACCTCACCCAACAGCAAACGCCCAAATCCATTCCAGAGGAAATCGCCATCATCGGCTCTGCAGAACCGTTGGCTATCAACTTATAGTCGGGCTGGCGTCCCAACGGCAAAGTGCGAATCATGCACTCTTCCGATTTCTGGAAAGATAGTCACTGCTGCCGGATCACGGTTTCATCCAGAATGTTTCATGTGCCATCATTGTCAAACGCCACTTGAGTGTGTGGCCTTCTACCAAGAGCCTGATGCGAAACGTCAGGAACGACTGGCAGCCGCTTCGGAAACCGACAAGGAGGCCCGTTTGCCGAGGTTCTACTGTCATCTTGACTTTCATGAACTCTTCAGCCCGAGATGCAAGAGCTGCAAGACCCCTATTGAAGGAGAAGTGGTTGTAGCATGTGGTGCTGAATGGCATGTCGGCCACTTCTTCTGTGCTGAGTGTGGTGATGTACGACCAACCTAAGAGCTTGAAGTTTGAGTAATAATATGCTAACTACACTTTTCCACAGCCTTTTGACCATGAAACACCGTTTGTAGAAAAGGATGGCTTTGCATGGTGTCTTCAATGCCATTCCCGGCGCACTGCTCCTCGATGCTCGGGGTGCAAAAAACCGGTACTCGATGATGTTGTCATCACGGCTGTCGGAGGTCAGTGGCATGATCAGTGCTTTGTCTGTCACGAATGCAGTGCCGGGTTTGGGCCGGACGGTCGATATTTTGTCCGAGAAGGCGAGCCCAAAAGAACAGCAAAAGGCCGCATCATTGGAGGCCCAGTCCAGCTACCTGTATGCGAAAGATGCGAGGGTATACGACTTAAGGCGTCGCCTTAGCTTTGATGGTGACGCGCGAGAAACTCCGAGAAGACACGTTTATTTATCATTTAAACGAAGTTTTATTGACTTACATACAGTGCTTGTAACTGTTCGCAGCATCTTGGTGTTGGAAGTAAAGTCTTGTCTTTTTGGTTTTCTTTTTCTTTTTCTCTTCTTTTCTTTTCTTTGGGTATACTATGCATGTTACACGTTATGCCAACTATTGCATATGCAGCAAGCGGGGATACGTATCATGTGAGTGTATGTCAAATACTGGTAGCGTCTGGCAGTTTGCCGTACTTCTTGGGCGTCATAGGGCTAGGGACAGGGTCATGGGACTGGCTTTTAACTAAGTTTCTTTTCTTTTCTTTGTTTTTTCTTTTCGGGTTAATAGCCTTTATAACTGAAACTACTATATACATACATCAGGGGTTCGAGTACTGGTTTCTAACCGCATAGAATCGACGCTAGTATGGGACACCGTAGCCAGAAACAGCAATGGAGATAACTAGGAGGTATCAAGCAGGCCATTCTGGGTCGGCCTTGCGACGGAAAACAGCCACATACTTGTTTCCCTTGTTCCTAGTGACCTTCTTGCCTTCCTCCGTAGACTCCCTCATGACCTCCACACAGGGGTCATTTGCCAATTCCTCCTCCGAGACCCGCTCAAAGAGATCTTTCACTCCACCTTCACTCGCCTGCTGTTCACCTTCCTCTCGGAAATGCCTCAAAACCCAATGATGATATTCCTCCACATCAGTGATCGTATACAAAAGACCCCCAGGCTTCAGCGCATAGGCATATTCAGCATTCAAATTTTCGGAGATAATCCTGGCCTTGTGCTTCCTGGCTTTGAAATGAGGATCTGGGAAGCAAATAAAGATCTTAGATAGTTGGTGTCTGCGGAAGAAGTTGGGGAAGAACTTCATCGTATTACTGCGGAGGGCGCTGATGTTCTGATACCCCCCTGGGACAAGGCTATTAGATGTTTCGGAGGTGGCGTCTGCGTCCGGAGAAGCTCCATCGGTGGCCAGTTCGGCTGTAGTTGACGGAGCTGGGGAATCGGTGGCGGTTGTAGAGGAGTTCTTGAGCTTGTTCTGTTGAGTTCGTAGTGCTTGGATGCGATTTTCTACGTATTCGATAACTTGGGTGCGGATTTCCATACCTAGTTGATTATTAGTTTATATTCTTTTTACAGCAAAAACTGAAAAGGACTGCAGAATAAGATGAAAGAATCGACAGGGTCATGAACATACCGAGCATCAAAGTCTCAGGTAATATCGGCGCAAGGCCAACAAGCAAGCCACCGAACCCGCATCCAATATCCACAACCTCGACATTTTTCAAGAGTTTCCTCGCACCCGCCAGGTTCGTTTGTTCAGGATCAGGATTCACAAACGCCGGATAATGCGACGACCAGTCCATATGCGCCGGACTGAGCGGACTAGAGCGTTTAGTTAGCACCCACAAAGCCAACTCACGCACGCAATTGATAGATCTACATACTAATCCAACCTATGGTCTGAGAAGGGATTCGCGTGTGCACGCTGCCGATAGAATTTCTTCTGGGGCAGTTTAACCTTGTCCGTGTCTTCGTTGGCTGCGGCCGCCGCTTTTTTACGGTATTGGTCGCGCTTTTGGCGCTTGGCCGGATGAGCGGACATTGTGATTATGGTTGACTATGCTGTTGTGGCTGAAATTGGTTCGCAAAGTAAAGTTGTGCAGAGACGATTGACGGGCGTTGTGGAGGGGGTGGGGTGCATTCAACTGCGATGCGATCGGATGAGGTGCGGAAATTTATTTCGAGATGGAGTTAAGGTTATGGGGGACCCGGAGATAAAAAGCTCAATCTGTAATCAATCATCAGTGACTTACTTAGATTCAAACTTCCCCAAGTCTCCTACCATTTGATTCTCGTTCAACGACTTTCGTTTTGGAATCGTGTTATGCGCTTATTTATTATATAGCTATCTTCAGAGTTGCAATTCCCATCATCGCAGACCAGCTCAATTATTAACCCTCTCATCACTGAGCAAAGCGGTATCACTCCAACTCCCCACCTATCAAGCCGTTATCAACCCCTCCGCACGTCAATATCCCCAAACATACACACTCTCTATAATTATACAACAGGCTCATATTGACAAAACTACGGATTCGTCGTATCTAAGCGAAACATATAGAAGAGAAGGAGATGTCTAATTCAACCCCCTTTCAATTCCCCCCGACCTACTCGTTCCCTCCATTCTTCACCCCCCAACCGAACAGCACAACACGACTCTCACAGCTCCAGAAATGGTCTTTATTGATTCAGTCTTGGTGTCGCCATCACCGAACATACCGTCTTTCCTTAATAGAAGCCATCGAGTCGCCGTTATTCCATAATTCCACGCTGCGGAAGCGAATACCACTGTCCGAGGCGCGAAATATCCTGGACTGGATGGCAGAGAGCGAAGAGAAGGGTGGAGGAGGTCGGAGGGCGGAGTGGGTTGATGGGGCAAATAAGACGATTGCTTGGGTTTGGTGGAGGAGGCCGGAGGAGTGGGCGGGAATTCTGGCAGATTGGGTATGTTATCTTTCCGGATGGGCAAACGATCGGATCCTGATGATTGGTGTCGTGGGGGGGGGGGGGTGTAGATTGAGAATACCGGACAAAAGAATGTGGTTTTGACGGTTTATGAATTAGTTGAAGGGGAGGCAACTATGTCACAAGGTAGGTCATGTGTGGGTGTTCCGGGTGTTGCGTGAGGTCTGCTGACGCTCGATAGAATGGCATGGCATGGATGTAGATGTTATGATGAAGTCGCTCAATGTCCTCGTGAAACGGGGCAAGGCCCAGGTCTTTGGTAATGAGGGCCAGGAAGGTGTTAAGTTTTTCTGATACAAGCAATTATCTAGCGCAGGCGTTGAAATCATGCACTGTCATCATGGCTGTTCATTAACTCGCTCGGATACGATCAGTAACTTCTACATGACAATTCCAGAATATACACAGAAGAAACCCTCCGCAGGTCAAGAACCCCGAGAGGGAGGCCCAGAAAAAGCCTGGACAAGCAAAAAGCAAAACCATTTCACAGGAACACCCTAACTCCCGTCTAGACATGCGCTTACTCCTCCATCTTGTCGGCCATGTCTTCACTCAGCTCATACTCATCTGCTGCGCGCAATTCTTGCGACATCACAATGTCGAGAAGCCAATCCACGCGTACAATCCGCGGCGTTTTCCCAATACCCTGAACCATCTGGCGGAACCGTGGCCATAGTCTTTGGTGCTCGGGTACTACACTGCTAAGAAGATACACTTCTTTCCGACCCCAGTTATCGTCGTCGTCACTGTCATCATCGCTCTCTTCTCGTTGTGTTTGGTACGAGACGCGTCCGCGGAAGAGCGAAAAATTTCCTCCATTGGTGTCAACAATTGACTTGAAGGCTTCAAAACCCCCTCGGATGGCTTCGACACAATAGATCTGATACCCCTGCAACAGCTTGTTCTTGTTATTCTTGGCGTTGCTTAAGGCTACCGCTAGAGAGAACCCGAATCGCTTTTCCGCAGCCTTGTCCTCCAAGAGGAAACTGGCAGGATCTAAAAGCTCGTTCTTTTTAAGGCATGCTGTAATGAAATCGGTGCTGATAATTATTGGGCTATAAGCAAGTGCGTTGACGAACTTAGGCGTTCGAAGTATAGACGGGGCGGCAAGGTGAGAACATTTCCGGGCATCTTGGACAACCTGGACTCCAAGCTCTCGAAGTTGTCGCTGTATATATCATTAGTTCCTGTCCCGCGGCGAATAAAGCCATAATAACATGAGGTGACTTTCACAAACCTTGTCTGCATCTTCTTTCTTCATGTTTCCTACCCACTTCTGGTACCCCGTGATTAATAGATGCATTGTCACGGGAGGCTTTGATTTCTTCTGCCTCTTTGCCTCTGTTGCTTCGTCCTCATCGCTCCTGGCCTCAGGCTCGACTGATCTTCGCTTCTTAGCATTTAATGTAACGCGGTCCTCATCCGTCTTCCTGCGACCTCCATAGATCACACCACCAACACGCTTCTTTTCCTTCTCGTACAGTGCAATATCCGGAGCAATATCATGGAGACGGGCAGCCGCGGCTTCCTTGGACTTCCGACTGCTTGTGGAGGATGGCGTATCATTCTCCTTGCCTTCCGAAGTAAGTCGGGTACGCGCAGGCGTCTGTAGCTTCCTGCTATCTGAGAGTTTCCGCGACTTGCCGGCTGGTGTTGCATTCCCTGTATCCGAGGCATCTCCGTCATCTTCCAGTTCTTTCGCTTGTGGTGGCTGAATGGAAGTTGTCGCCTTTCCGGTTGTAGCGTTTTGATCCCTGTTCTGCATGACTCGACGCGGGCTTGTGGCAGCCTCAGCTTTGTGGTCTGAAGGGAAAAAGAGGCTTTCGAGAACACTCCTATCCAGCCGTGTTTGACCGACTACCTCGCCTAGGTTGGTCCGTCGAGGAAAGTGCGTATAACGGGGATCGGAAACCGGCAGCAGCTTCCACTTTGCGTAGCTCTCTTCAAGCCACAAGTGATTGACCACATGCAGTCCCCATTCTTTTGCTGCGGAGCACTTTTCACTGTTTCCATGAGCAGTCACCAAATGTGTGTTGTCTTGTTTCAAGGTCTTAGTACATTCTGCACCTGATGCGGCGACTAGGTTTTCCAGATATGCTCTAGCTTCTCCAACATAATTGGACAAACTGATCTTGAATCCTTCAAAGCCCGGGATAGCAGTGCGCGGCACAGGGTAGTGCAGCAATCGCCGCAAGGGCGAAGTCCAAGTGTTGTATGTTACCAAATGGTAAAGCCAAGATAAGTTTCCAACCTCTTTATTCAGCCTCGACGCCAAGCGATATGCATAGCCTTCTCTGTAACGACATATCAAGACTTCTGCCTTGGAGACATCAGACGTGACAGTACCTCCGCCTTCCTCGATAATTTCTGTGATCGAATCTAATAAGTGTGAGCCAATCCCAAGGTCTGTAGAAAGCATGACGTGCTTCCCTTCGAATACATCGAGCTTTGGCCGAGGTGTCGGTAGAGTAGTTGGTTCGGCTGTGGAAGCTCCGACAATATCTCGGTTCTCTGTAGAGCGGATCGGCGCATCGGGGCCTGCACGGAGGATTTCTGGGTTTGGCAGAATATATGGGCGCTCATCGATTCGTCGTCCGAGTTTCAGGCAGTCGTCAAACCTGGCGAATATCAGGTTAATGAAACCTTCCAATATTCTGCCATTGTAAACCCAAGGGTCTTACCAGTGCGGAAGCACTATCTTGACATTCAACTTCTTGCCAAGCGCCACTCTAGCCTTGTCTGAATCCGTGGTCAGATCGACCAAGTGAGTGACCATTTGTGTTATCCTGGGGCTGTAGAGCCCGCCTTTTGCCAGCACACCACCGATAATAGCATCCTTATCACCCTCTGGGATATCACCACAGGTAACCACAACATCGTTCAAAAATAGTCGTGGGTCGGGACTGTACTGTCGCGGATTTGCCAGTTTTCTTTTATTAAGACATGCATGCAGCCATTGCGGTTTGACGACAGGGATCAGAGCGTCATTAGCAGCGTCAAACGTCGGGAAATCGATGGTGGTAGATACGAGGTGGCTAAATTCATGTAACGGTGGGAACGCGGCAGGCGGTTCATAAATAACGGATTCACCACCCTGCTCCTCGAGGGTTGTCGCAAGCTATCGGGCATGCGTGTAAGAGTCTATTGTATCCAAGGCATATGAAGGATAGAGCATCCAATGCGTACCTGGTGCGCCGTATCGAGGCTGAGGTCTTTCGAGCATATTATACAGATCTTGCACTGGTCGAAGAGCTGAAGCTCCTCTTCGCGGCTCCCCATGGCGGGAAATGAGGGTATTGCTGTTTTCTTTCTTGTTGTATATAATGTCTTATCACAGTCACAAAAGTAAGGTTTCAATATTGCTGGTTGACTGGCAGCTGAGATCTGTGGTGGCGGCGTTTTACTACAATTATGCGATGCGACGCGCCCACGCGCCGGCACGACACCTGATCACGTGTGCACACCATTTACCGCGAGTGTAATCAACGCATTCGCATTCTACTATTCCTCTCTCCTGAAACATCACCAGTTCGGAGACAGCCATGCTGTGGGTATACTATCTTGAGAATTTATAGGCGATGGCGGCGACACCGTTCATATCTGGAAGGGCGATACTTAAGCCCACCATGCCATGTGCTACAGGACTTCACCGAAGATCTGTTGGAGAACTGAGAAAGACGGGCCGAAAGTTCCAATTGTAGATTATCTAGAGTGTCATGTTTGCTTCCAGATAATGGCCAGAATATAGTAGGTTTATTTAGTGCATAATGCAAGATAATAATGCAAAATGCTCGGCACTGCTTCTCGGGCCATTCAGAGTTGACTGTGGGAATGCACCTCGGCTCAACGATCTAGTCCACGGCAAAAGTGACTTGGGCATACCTCCGTTACCCCAGACCATAACCTGGGATCCCTCCGCCTTTTAAAGCCCCAGACGGGCCCATGATGGACCGATACTTTCCCAAATAGAAGAGATACCTATGCGATGTCTTCCCCTACAGTTTCCGGACCTTTTCGCATCGTCGACCATGTGGTCGAATGCCAGCATATTCGGGAATATCCCGCGGCTACGGCTGACGAACAGGAAGATGAATTGCATTTAGCTGTCAAGCAGTATATTCCCCTAGATAACCCTAATCCTCAGCCAGGTGATGTCACTATTCTTGCGACCCATGCGAATGGTTTCCCCAAGGTACCACGCCCTTGATTTTAGTTGCGCTATCAATTAGTTGTAACTTGCTTTTTTTTTTTTTTTTTTTTACAATGAGAACATAAAGCTAATGCTGTATACCAGGAACTCTATGAACCACTCTGGGAAGAACTGCATGCTCGGTCCAGAGCTAATGGCTTTCGCATCCGAAGTATTTGGATAGCCGACGTTGCGCATCAGGGGCAAAGTTATGTAGCCAACGAGGATCTTTTGGGCAACGACCGTACGTAACAATGTCTCCGCTGGATGGTACGAACAAACCAAACGGCGAATACTCTAAAACTAACGCTTTGTGCGCAAACAGCTAGTTGGTTTGATCATCCCAGAGACCTCCTTCACCTCGTCAACGTAAAGCGCAAGGAGATGCCTCGTCCGATCATCGGGATCGGTCATAGCTTTGGCGGCGCGCACCTGTAAGTCTTCTGCAGGATGGGACCTCGCAACTCTTCTTAACACGCTTTAACCATCACAGTGCGAAATTATGCGTGATGCATCCCCGACTCATCCATACACTTGTCCTGCTAGACCCTGTTATCCAGCGACAAACGACACAACTAGATCCCCTCTCGGCCGATAAGCGCAAACTGGCCATGGCCAAAACTACCCAACTATCAACCTATCGACGGGATATCTGGCCTTCCCGCAAGGCCGCTGCGGAGGGTTTCAATCGAAGTCCGTTCTACCAAGCCTGGGACTCCCGTGTCCTTGACCGCTGGATTAAACACGGCTTGCGAGAACTTCCCACGGCTATTCATCAACTTCCCAACGAAGCATCAAAGGACGGTGAACGACCTGTCACCCTAACGACACCCCTTCACCAAGAAGTATTTACCTTCTCACGCCCCAATTACGACGGGCCTCCAGGAAAGGATGTACCGGTGAATCGGGTGACACATCCCGACCTTGACCCCAATCACCTGGGGTCTTTCCCCTTCTACCGTCCTGAGCCGTCGCGCATATTCGCAGAGATCCCGCACCTCCGACCTAGTGTCATGTACATATTTGGCGGCAAATCGGATATGTGTCTTCCCGAGATGATGGCCGACAAGATGACCAACACTGGTGTAGGTTTAGGTGGCAGCGGCGGGGCAGCAGCTGGTCGAGTTCGCGACGTCTATCTTAAAGAATACGGACATCTCCTTGCCCAGGAAGCACCGACTGAATGCGCCGAAGCAGCCAGCAAGTGGTTGGGTCAGGAACTGCGACGGTGGCGAGAGGAAGACCAGACTTTCCGAGAGCAGTGGAGTCGGAAGTCGAAAGTTGAGAAAATTACCATTGATCCGCGCTGGAAGGAACACGTCCCCGCCCCTGTGAGGGGTAAGAAGGGCCCTTCCAAGCCAAAACTGTGAAGACCGGTAGACGGCCCGCAGCTACACAGGAGTTATGCTGTCCTCAATGAATATAGCGTACGTCGATGAGGTTCATGTGTAATAGGATAAGCAACATAATATTGAAGACCCTAAATCACGCTGTGAGGTGTAATATCATCTTCATTTTTCTCATCCTGTTCTCTATAATAATAAGGTCCTGGCCAGGCCAAAACCAATGTCTATAATGAATAAACAAAACATAGATGCCAGGGTCATAGCCAAGCAACCGTAGCTCCTGGCCACAATGCTCGCTTAAACGGAGTAAGGATATGGTGCCAGTGATAACAGTTATACTAGCCTAGTTTGATTTCTTGGCCACGCCATTTTCGCCCTTGTCTTTGGAGCCAATGCGGATGATCTCCGGAAAGTTCCATAAATGCGGCCACCACAGGTAATATTCTTCCTGACGGTTGTTCAAACAGTGGCGCAGCCAAATGCCCCAGATAATATAGAGGTACGCACCAATACCAGTCATAAGATGCCTTAGCAACAGAACAATGTTAGCACACACGGTACGAGCGAACACCTCCGGCAGCGCAGAAAAGAGAAAGGACAAGGGAAAGGAAAACATACCACCAGCCATGACCTTCTAGAAGCATACCCCACGGAAGCCCCACTACCCGACGCCATCCGCGGATCCTAGTGCAAAAGTGGTTATCCAGATTCCAGATAAGGAAGCCACCGAGGAACATGCTCAGCCCATAAATAACCATGAACCACATGGTCTTCAAAATCTTGACATCTCGCACATTCTCGTAATGTTGATGCTCCTTCGAGGGAACGGGCAGACCCTGTTTCTCGCGTGCTATCCGGTCCTCCTCGGTGGTGTGTCGCCACTTAGGGCGAAGGGTTACCTCCATGGTGTACATACTCCGCAGGACGACGACAATGGTCAGAATAGCATATGCATTCTGATGGAAGATGGGGTCTTGAAGGTAGTGGTAATAGAGCGTGATGAAGACGGCCAGACTGGTCAGTGCAATGGCTAAGAATACACGGACGCTTGTCGGTCTCGAGTAAGAAAAGGAAGCATAGCACATCAAACATGTGGTGTAGATCATGGAAAGCTCGTCGACAAGTTGCATGGGATCTGTTGGAAAGAACAGGTTAGTAAGCTCGAGTTACCGAACGCTTTTCGTAGAAGGAATATAGAGGTATATCACTTGCATTTTAGCGTTGAATGGAACAGGAAACTCCCCGTTCCAACTAGGAGATAACCATAGTATGCCACTTCAAAGATCGAATCATGTCCATTGCGCCTGCAACTGCGTAGCCCTTTGATTCCAAGCCACATGAACAGAAGGTTTGTCAGAGCGTTGACAATCTCGGCGGAGTAGATGGTCGCATAGTAATCCTATTTTCATGGGAACATTAGGAGTGAATCAAACAGAAGAGAAAGACCCAAAAAAAAAAAAAAAAAAAAAGGGTGGGCGCACCTCCTCGCACCAATTCAAGGTCGACGTAACGGGACTCCAGTACCCAGCCTTTGAAGGAGGATATGGAAAGAAGGGAAGGGCAGGCCACTCAGGCATTACGGGTAGAGACCGACTCCGGCTGTCCACGGATAATGGTCAATCTCTGTTGTGACGGGATAATTATCGGGTGGAGTTATAGAAAAGAGGGCATGGCAGGTACAAAGAGGGGAAGAAAGAGGAAAGAGATGTACAAAGGAAGAGGCGTCGACTGGCGTTCGTGGAGTTACTTTCTACCTAAACTAACTCGACATCCGTTCGGTTCATCCAGACCCGTGACGTCGATTGATTACGAGTAGGTCAAGCATCGCAGGCTGTCAATCCGCATTTGCAGGAAACCGATTGGCTAGCCTGTGTCTCCGCCAACTTCCGAATCATTGCTTGGGCTGGTAACATTACTTTGATTACTTAGTACAGTGCGGGTGTAATTTTGACTTTGCCCTAGCTATGGATGCATTCGGCCTTAAATTTCATGAAGATTCCTGGATGAGACACAAAATGAGGGTTTCTAAGGTATGTACTTCCAGTGAAAAGTTCATTCCCCGGAGTCTCTGCGGGAGAGTTCAAGGCTAGTTCGTCCAACGGTAAATCGTCCCCCAATTGGCAAGATTCCATACATATGCCTCGGTGCATCCATGGATGGGTACATATGTACTAGAGTCGCAGGCCTGATTGCACCAAAGATACTACATGGACACCAACTAAAAAGTCTCGTGGCCAGGGATCGCATTCCGTTTGGAATAAAAGTTAGGTAAGCCGATGTACTGTAACTATGCCGTACTGCACACCTTCCCCGAAGCAAATTGATCGCTGTAATCGAGTACCGGAAATACACCGCATGTGGCCGCCCGTGACTATATCCGGCCAATCATAGTAGATCCGGAACGGAGCTCTGATGACTTCACCAACCGCGATGCTCGAGAGGAAAAATGCTACCGGCAATTCCGTTTTTTTGGAACCTTACATCGTTCCTGATCTGAGTACATGTCAGATCTCACCTCGCCAATTTACAATTACTTTTTCTGTATCGCTTGAGATGTGGTCTCTGCCGCCCCCTTCGTGACTGTGACCGCATCCCGGTCTCTCGCAAGATTCTCGTCATCTACAAAAAGCGGTGTCCATTGCGGATGAACTGAATCTGCTGTGATAATCACCGCCTGATCAACCTTCAAAGCGCATATAAACTTTGATTCGTGAACGTCCAGGCTGGGCCTGTGGAATAATATTGCAATGTCGAACAGCGCTGCATATGCAGTGCCCCAGGTGAAAAAGACCTCTGCCACTACGAGTATGTTCCTCTCTTTTACGACCTTTTTTGTTACTCTTTTCTTTCTTCGGCCCACTGGAGAAGAAATTACAACTCTATCGTTACGGTGAAGCACATTTGCTCCTGTCTAATTTGCTGGCAGCATCAAAAACTACTTTTCATTTCGCCGCTGGCCTTTGTTCCGGTCTCAGCTCCGCCATCCTCCTCCAGCCAGCAGACCTTCTCAAGACTCGAGTCCAGCAGTCTCAGAACGCCGCGCTTCTACCGACAATAAAATCCATTATCTCTTCCCCGAATGGAATTTGCGGCTTATGGCGTGGAACCCTTCCCTCCGCACTCCGCACAGGCATCGGCTCAGCGCTCTATTTCACAAGTCTCAATGCCCTACGACAAGGGTTAGCGCATACCGGAGTCCCGGTCGCCCTCTCCAGCGCAGGCGCAAACGGTAAAGGTATGGCATCTTCGTCTGCCCTTCCAAAGCTGTCGAACTCGGCCAACCTTGCCACGGGTGCGGCCGCTCGCGTTGCGGCGGGATTTGTGATGATGCCCGTCACCGTGCTAAAAGTACGCTATGAGTCGACTTATTACGCATATGGCAGTCTGTACAGCGCAGGGCGCGATATCCTTCGTACAGAAGGTGTCCGAGGACTTTTCGCTGGGTTTGGGGCAACCGCTGCACGTGATGCCCCGTACGCAGGGCTCTATGTTCTCTTTTATGAGCAGTTGAAGCGGCGCTTCGCATCGCTGGCCGACTCGGGTACTGGTGATCAATCGCTAAAGTCATCCTCTTCATCAATCAACTTTGTCTCTGGAGCATTGGCGGCTGGCCTTGCTACTGCGATTACTAACCCGTTTGATGCGGTCAAGACTCGACTGCAACTTATGCCGAACAAGTACGGAAACATGATGCGAGCGGTGAAGATGATGATTCATGAAGATGGCGTGCGGAGCTTGTTGGGCGGCTTAGGGTTGCGTATCACCAGAAAAGCGCTTAGTTCAGCACTCGCTTGGACAGTGTATGAAGAGCTGATCCTTTATGCGGAGAAGCACTGGGCATCAAGGGACTAGGTGCTAGGTGTCTGTATAACCAATAACCTATATCTTTATTTTGCTCGAGCATTTATTTGGGAGTTTGGGTTGGATCATAAAGGAGTTTGGGTATACATCGTGGCAATCATCATTGTATCATATATAGGTGCGAACATATCATCAAAATCCCAACTCACGACGAAAAATGAACATCAACGCGAAACATTTCAGGACCCAATAGATCATCAAAGTTTACAAAAAAGCCAATAAACAGCTGAGACACCAAATCCTAAATCATGAAAAGCAGACGTATAGTGGTATCACTTGTTTCGCAAAACAATTCAATCGGCTGATCAAGTAAAAATCCATGCCCTCCGACTGGGGCTCTTTTTCCGCACAAGGTACATCTTGTCCTTCTTCCTGTCGTTGACCTTCAACTCCGTCAATGTGTTGGAGGTCTGGGTAATGAGTTTGCCTTCGCGAAGTCGTCGGGTGTGATCGAAGAGCTCTTCCTGGAAGTCTTCTGAGATCCATTGTTTGATAATGATATAGTTGCTATCGCGCTGTTGTCACCTGTCAGTTAGCATTGCCTACTTCGGAGATACCAATCCTTCGAGGGCACTCACGTCATCCCAGTCCCAGGGCAAGTGATAGGCCATCAGAGTGTCAGGCAGAAGATGTCTGCGGTGGACCTAGACATTGATATTAGTTTGACCAGACACGGAAAGTATTGGCAGTTAGGTGGCATACCTTGATCCATGTCGTCCGCCGGTGTTCTTCTTTCTCTTCCTTTTCACTTTCGTCATCGTCGTCCTTCTCCTTCTCTTTTCCTTTCTTCTTCTTCTCTTTCTCCTTCTCCTTGTCCTTCTCTTTCTCCTTTTTCTTCTCCTTCTCTTCCTCTTTGCCGTCTTTCTCTTCCTTCTTCTTCTTTTTGGTGATTATCTCTTCAATTTCTTCCTCCGTATAACCGAATTCGATCCTCAGTCGAGCCCTAAATTCTTCGTCACGTCTCCTCTTCGCTTCTCTTTCGGCGTTGATCCGCCGCTCCTCGTTCAATTTCCATTCCTCAATGGCCGCTGCCTTCATCGCAGCTTCTTTACGCTCTTTCTCCTGCTTTGCGAGCAGGGCTCTCGCCTCCTCATCCCGGATCTCTTTCTTGATCCGCTCGCGCTCCTCCTCTTCGTCAATCTTACGCTGGAGCTCCTTGAGCTTTTCCTGACGGATCTGCTCTTTGAGTCGCTCCTGCGCCTCCTCCTCGTCGATTCTGCGTTGAAGATCCTTGAGCTTCTCCTCGCGCAGCTTCGATTTGACATCTTCATCCTCCCTAGCTTTGCGCTGGGCTTCCTCAAACTGACGTAACTTGTAACGATGTTCTGCTTTGCGCTGCTCCTCCTCCTCTTCAATTTTATGGCGGAGCTCCTTAAGTTTCTCTTCGCGCAGTCTTGATTTGACACTGTCTTCCTCTTTAGCATGGCGCTGGGCTTCCTCAAACTGACGCAACTTGTAACGATGTTCTGCTTTGCGCTGCTCTTCCTCCTCTTCAATTTTGTGTCGGAGCTCCTTAAGCTTCTCTTCGCGCAGTTTTGATTTGACGCCATCATCCTCCCTAGCATGGCGCTGGGCTTCTTCAAATTGATGCAGCTTCCAGCGGTGTTCCGCTTGCCGCTGTTCCTCCTCCATGCGCTGGCTCTTCTCATACCTCTCCAGCCTCCTCAGTCGCTCACTAATCTCATCCTCGTACCAGTCCTCTTCCTGCTTGAGAATACGAACATCGTGGGAATCACGAGCGTCACGGGTTTCAAGCCGATTGCGAGCCAACTCCCGTTCTAAGCGCTCTATTTCCTGCTGCTGTCTCAACAGCTCCAGATCCTGTCGATGGTCGTTCTTTTCCAGCAGCCGCTGATCAATCACCAGCTCATAATCCCGCTCATGTTGCCGCGGTGAAGCCTCTCTTGGCGTACTGGCAGTGCTGGCGCGAGGCCGTCTATGATGAGCACGCAGGAGGGTCTCGTCCTCTGACTCGTAGGGATCGATATAAGTCTCCTGGTGCTGGTCCTTACGGGCCCTGTTGGCACTTCTGTTGGAGCCTTTATTCCGCGAGTCGTTTTTGATATCGACGATGACGGCCGGAGGTGGCGGGGGACGCTCATGAGACCGTCGTCGCCGGGCGCCCGTGGATGCAGAGCGGTGCAAATGCACGTCTTGCACAACGGGACTCAGGTAAGTGGTGCTACCGTGATCGGGGCTGAAGCGATGACGGGAGAAGGAACGCCTCCTGAAGGATGTCCGACGGCGGCCGTTCTCCAGGGAATAGTCCGACTCTGAGTAGTCAGACTCGGAATCGGTCCATGGGACGATGTGTTGTTGATGACGAGGCATCTTAGTGAAGAGTATATTTTTTACCCTTTGATTTTTGTCACCCCTCTCTTTTTTTTTTTTTTTTTTTTTTGTGATAGACTGGGGTCTAGTTATCTTTTGTGTTTCCAATGATGGCAGTTGAGGATGTGGACTGTCGAAGCGGGGCGGTTTTGTGATTCAAGAGAGGAGACACAAGAAGTGACGTAGTGGGAAGAAGCACTTGGCAAACACAACTTTCCAAGAAACAGCTGTGGTGGGATTAAGAATTCCTAAGAAGATGACAGGGGTTAAAAGCAAAGCACAAGGAGGGGTAACCTCTGGGTGCGAAAGAAGTAAAGAATAAAGAAAGCGAAAGATAACCAGACGAAGAAGAGAAGCGAAGAGAAATATGACTGAGCCTCAGTCAGAGGGAAAGAAAAAGGACCAGCCCCCGTGCCTCGTAAACGCGGGCGGTCCAGCTGAAAAGTGGGGGACAAAAGAGAAGAAAAGCCGTTTATTATTCGACTGTCGTGATGGCTGGGCAGGAATCACTCATTGGACTGGCAGGTTGGGTTTTGGGGGTCAGGCTGAGTGATGATCCGCATCGGGTGGCCACTTGGTGACTTTATCTCTCTTGGTAAAAGGGTCCTAGATATAACAAATGTCCATGATTGATGAGTATCTATAGATAGTACACTAAAAGACATGAATTTCTTCGAATAAACCTTTACTAGCACCTACTACTACTCCTACCGACTGTACCTCCCAACGATACCCAATGAATCCTTCCCCGCGCGCCTCGACAGCCCTAAGTTAGTCCAACTTAGCCCGAGCGCAACCAAACAAGCACTCCTGCAGCCCAGCGGCTATGTGAAACATTCCTTTGACACAGGCCGTCTTATCAAGATCCCCGTTTATCCTTAGTACCTATGGATTACTATCCATAGATATTGCTACTATGGTAGATAGTACCCCCGGATCATTCAAAACGAGCGGTAACGACGGCCCTCAACCAAGGAAAACAAGGCGGTTAATCCCACGGAACCAGAACTTTCTTTGATCATCCATCGATCGATCTTCTGATAGAGGTGGCGCGCGCGTGATGGATGGATGCGGATATTCTTTTGCATTCCAGTGATTTTTCGTGGAATTAATTCGATCAAATATGATGATCATTTGGATTTGCTGCCTGATACACATGACGTCGGCGGGTGTCATGTAGATGAAGGAAAAGTCAGTGACCGTCAGCCTTGTGTCGAGTGGGGAACTCTCTAGTATTTAGTGCAGATTAGTACTAGTGAGGGGTTTGGGTAGGTTATGGATCAGAGATGGTTTTATCTTGGGTGGACTACTCCAAAGCAGAGACGAAATGTGTTTTACTTCCTCTGTATTAGCATTTACTAGAAGGTTTGTACCTGCTTTGGTGTGTATGTACATACATACTCGTGTATTCTCCGGAATCTCGAACTTTCAATATTAAGCTGCAGCTTTTGTACCCACGGACGCTGAATACTTTAATATCACCGTTATCGAAGCGAGCCAGTGACTTCCCCGCCTTTGTAGGATGAAGCCGTAAGAGAAAAAAAGGAAAAGAGAATAAAAAGAAAAAAAATCTGCACTTCTATGAAAGATTAAAGTTCTATTGTACCTGAGTATGGAGAGTACTGTGCAGTCACTACATCATGGGCGGGCACTTTACTATAACGTGCAGAAAACGCCGCGGGCGCAGACAGGCTGCTGTGGCCGCGCCTAATTGCTGCAATACTAAGAAAACTCTATCTCAATTTCTGAGACGCTTGCCTTCCTAAAGAGGTAAGGGAGTGTGTTAGTATAGTAAATTACTATATCGTAGACAGTACTACGTATTGCTGCTCCTTCAGGCCCCCGTAGTACACCCCACCCAACACGTCTCATGCTTTCTTTGTCTTTCTCCCCTTCGCCTCCCTATTACCACACACTAACAAGACCCGCATACACTACCTTAAATACACAGTGGATAAGAGAATCAAATAGAGTTTTCGGGACATATATTTAGCGGACGAACAACTATATTAATGAGTCAGTTCCAGTCCATCTAAAATCTCCAAAATCATACACCCCCCCTCGCCATCCCAATACTATAGAACTTCATAGCAATCACCTGCTCCCAATTAGCACAATAACAATGACCACCCCCCTGGGCGACTCAGTCAACCAACCCCCAGCCCAAAGGCCCACCCCCAAAAAACTCCAAGGCCGCACAATCGACCTCATCCACCTATCCCCCTCCCACACGGAGGCCCTCTGGTCCCTCGTCGGCGGAACTTCCGACCCCACCAAAGCATCAGCATGGACCTACCTCCCAGAAGGCCCCTACCCAGAGACTGACTTCGACAAATTCCAAGTCTCAGTAACTACCAAATGCAACTCCACCGATCCCCTCTTCTACGCCATCGCCGATAAAACCCAAAAAGTCCTGGGTTGGATCACTTTAATGAGCATCGTGCCTGAGCAACTACGGCTCGAGATCGGGTGGGTGTTGTTCTCGCCTGCGTTACAGCGCACAACAGGCGCGACAGAGGCGTCCTATCTACTGCTTAAGTATGCGTTCGAGGAGCTGGGGTATCGGCGCGTGGAGTGGAAGTGTAATGCACTGAATGAGGGGTCGAGGAGGGCTGCGGAGCGGCTTGGGTTTGTGTTTGAGGGTGTGTTTAGGCAGCATATGGTTGTCAAGGGGAGGAATAGGGATACGGCTTGGTTTTCGATGTTAAGGGAGGAGTGGGATTGTAAAGGTGTTAAGGAGGCCTTGGAAAGTTGGCTTGCGGAGGATAATTTTGATGAGTCTGGGGCGCAGAAGAGGGGCTTGGAAGGTATTAGGGAAGAGTTTTTAGGTAAGAGTAGTAAGAATTAGGTGTTGAAAAGATGTATATATGTTGTTACGCACTCCTGCGCACGTTTACCTTGTCGACAAGCGGGTATAGAAACCATAGGATGCAGATCCAATAGGATTGAATGACCGCCTTAGTTGCTTGATTATCCTTCTGATCACCAAGAACATGAAAATTCAGGTATATGTATATGTTACATTCACTGTCGTAAAGGTAATATTTACTTACGCTCTGCGTAGTATTCGAGCATGTACCTTTCGACTGAGTAAATGCTGAACACAATGCTATAGATCACCTATGACTATTCCAGCGTTCTTTTACTCCCTCCTCTATCACTGGAAGCTGGCTGTCCCTCGCGGGAGTCTTTCATCTTCGTTTCCGGAGATTGGTCAAAGTATCTGTCAGAGGCGGCATAGGCACCATTGACCTCCCGTAGCATAAGCTTGATTCCAAGCGCATCTTAAGTCTAGGCAATAGAACCCCGGCGAACAAGATGCGTTAAGCAAATTTTGACTTCATCACCAGAACCTTCTCCAGCATTAAACTGGTCCAACTTGGCGAAGCCAATGGTTGGAATGTGGATAGAAGCTATGGTGGGGCTTATGGAACCGCAAGTTTAGACAGAGTGTCCGGGTTGTAAAGACGTAGTAAGCGCAAATCTGTAACCTAGGACTCGGAATCAATAGCTCTGTGCGGGAACTGTCCTTATAGAATAGGGGCATAACAGCTAAATCCACATCGCAATTGTTCCGAGTATTAGAGAGTTGTTGTTACTGAGAAAAATGTGAAAGAGGAGATGGAAAGAAAATAGGATATAGTACCCCGTATCATAAGGTGACATCATTACATACGTTGCGTACTATTTTCTTACATTAGCTGCTCTTGGGCTACGTAGAAATCTTCTCGAAGCACTTCAGTTAAAGGAGTTACTGTGTTAGGTGGCGAACGATTTAGCCTGAACGAACTATTTAAGTTTGTTAGCATCACTGCCATCCACAAGCGGATAGTGGATATAGTACAACCAGGTGAGCTGAGAACTTGCGATGTAGAGATTTGGGGCACGCGCAAGCCACTCGATGGGTGTCATTATCGGAACCTTATAGAGCCGGAAAAATTAAGTTGGGCATATCTATAAGAAGTTAATTGGTGATGAAGACCATTGGTTATAGGTGTGTTGAAGGGGCTTTGCATGTACTGTACAATAGACAGCACAACGGGAAAAGTATTATAGAATCTGAATTTGCATTGCTTTCAGGTTACGAGGTGGAGGGAACTGCGCCGAAGTAAATTTGCAAGCACTGTCGATCCAATCTACAATCGGAAATGAATAAATACACAGTACGGAGTACGGAGTAGTTCCAGCTCAATGCCGCCTGAGCTCCACTCCTAGGATACGCGAGGAGAGACGATCGACATAAATACACGCGAAACCGATTTCGCCATATATCTCGGTCGATTCACAATGCAAAGGAACACTCGTTTCCACTTTTTTTTTTCTTTTCTTTTACCTTACAAACCCTGGTCACTGTACGTAGTTACGGAATATACATTAGTGAATTTTATGTTTGGATGCCAACCAAAGTCTTTACACACCGACTTTATCAACAATGTAAGAGCGATACTCCCAATTGGTAATTGGCCCCAAACGGGCTAGTTGTGAATCACCAACAACCCAACACATCTTTCCTGTATCGAGATGGGATCCAATTTTTTACGAAGACACTGCTACGTAGCTGTGTTTTGTGGTCCAACCTCGGGACTGACCCACCTAAAATCTATCATCCATATCTTCTTGGATCTGAGTATGTAATCGACAATTATTCTCGATTGCCGCTTGTACTATCTGTGGAATGATATAGCAACCAGCTAATAACTTTAAAAGGAGGACAAGACCCTGTGATTCGTAATCTTTTATCAATTCCGATGTAGTCTGACACAATGGTTGCCGTCGAAGGAGTTCAAGAAGTGTACGCATTGATCACTCGCCGGCTGGGGCTCTAAACCGGCTTTTCTGGGCAGGAGTTGCGAACTCTGGTACTACAGAAGAAACACATCAGATTTTAGTGACGTACGTATAACCTATCACCTATGTGCTTAAGTTGCTCTTTATAGCTGACGAAATTATCAAGCAACTGTCCCAACTGGAAAACGTGTGCTTCCTTTCTACACCTATCCAATTGCGGCCTAGCTTCTGACATAGTGGCAGCAGCACATATCGGCTATTGTATATTATGGGTCAAGATTGTAAGCTCTATAACTGCCGCAGGGGAGGTATGTATCTTTTTGAGATCATATGATAACCTATGTTGATCATTTTTCAATTCCCTAAGTGATTGTGAATATTGTCGACATCTATGCCTATCTCGTAAACTACATACACCCCTAGGAAGAATCCCTGCATCGCACGACGTACTATAGATGCCTGCTACCTGCTGCTCTGAGTTCCCTAGAGGATGCCCGCGAGACGGGAGACGAACTCGGAGGCACAACTATGCCGAGTCCCTTAGTACTCACTCCTTTGCTGCAGGCATTGTCAGAGGAGTACTATGATATTGATATTCAGTTTGGTGGCAAGGACCAGGTAGATATCACCTCTTGGCTTCATTCAATCAGACGGGATGCTAATTATGTACACTTAACAGCGAGGTCTGTTTAATCTTAACGAACGAGTAATGACACAGCTTGGCTACCGGGAGCGTATCCATCTGCTAAATGATATACTACCCGGGCTTATTGGGGCAATAATGCCATCGTCACATACGAAACATACGAAGATCATGTTATTGGATGATCCGAAAATGGTCAAATCAAAACTAGAGTCCGCAATGCGCACTGAGGGGGTTGCTGAAGCCAACAGCATCGCAGGGATCTTAGAGCATATTCTTTTCCCTCTGAGCAAATTCGCCAGCTTAGCATTCCTACAGCACATGGTTGCGGCTCAGCCAATAGTACGTTGTGGACAAACCAGTTCCATTTTGTGCTCCAGGTTGCCCACCAGGGACATGGTTTAGTGTCCGTGTTACATCCGATATGGATGGAGCTTGAGATATATAAAACATTATGAGTCATGAAAAGAGCTGGAGTAGAATTCGGTGGCGAAGAAATTTTACCCCGGCGAGCTGAAGGGCTGTGGCTGAGGGATTGAATGGCCTGCTCGGAGCAATCCGTCAGGAATACGAAAGCAACAACGAATGGCAGGAGGCTGATCGGTTAGGCCATCCCGAATATTGGTTAGACGCGCCAAAAGTGGAGCTCTAGTGAAGGGTGCTTTGCATCAGAATTCTCCGTCATTGATAGCTTTATATGATGATTGAAGTACTGTTAAGCTGTTGCTGGATGTTTATATCTGCCACTTATCGTAGTGAGCATTGAACAAACCACCTAGGTAGTAGTTCAAGCTTCTATCGCTAACATCTAACCTTCCACCACATCCTGATGGGCTTAGAGCCACGTGTCGGATGTTCTGGACTACGGCATTCCTGGGCTTCTAATCATAGCAGAGCTCGAGATCTCGCGGGACGATCGGCAAGATCCGTCGATACGCTAGTAATCTACTAGGACTAGTACCGTGTTATACCTAACTTTATAGCCGAACTGATCCCCACCTGAATGATCCGTTTACGGTGCAGAAGTGGGTACCCCAGAATATTTCAGCTGAGAACCAGAGCCGATACAGTCGATGGGTTCTTTCAAACTCATCCAGCTCACCGACACATGAAAGTGGCTCCAACAAGACCTTTAGACATCCGCTGTGATCCCAACATTGACGGGCTTTGGTGGAAAAGTTGGAGTTTCTGAAACTATAGAACACTCACTAGTTCTACTGAAGTAATCTAAAAGGGCCGGTAGTTTAAGGCTGCTTCACGAGGATATCTCCCTCCAAGTCGCCGATCCTGTTTTATTTCAATTTATTTTATTTTCTATCTTTTTGTTTCTTCTTTTGGAAAAAAAAAATTTCCTACAACTGAGCCCTGACCCTAGCTTCGTTTGATATTATGGATGGCTTAGTTGAGTTTTTGAAACAATAACACCACATTGAGATATTAATACTGAGACTGGAAGAGTACGTCCAAAGCTACCGGTTCAGGAGATGGGGCTATCATCGTACTGGTGGACTCGTGGCACCTTGTCTGACGACGTAGGGGGCGTTCCAGTTCGAAATGAGACATCGTTAAATGACAATGACTCTCAAACCCTACTAAACCTTGCTACGAGCTTACAACTTTTCGATGTTCCGCTGCTGCGGACTTCGCTTCCCAAACACGCATTATTATTATTCTTCTTCTTCTTCTTCTTCTTCTTCTTTTGTTTTTGTTTGCTGCTTACAAGATGTTGGAGAAGACGGAAACCCGGTGTTACAATATACGCAGTAAAGGAGGAAAAGCGTGGCAAGGCTACATCAAAACGACCTACCTATCGAACGGGCGGGAGCACCATCGACTATCGATCTCTGTACTATAAGCTCCAGAATATCGAAGACCATCAAGATATACTGCCGAAAGCTCGGGATCTGCTGCTTTCCTTCCTTTCGGACGCAATTACAACAACAGCGTACGACAAAGGCCAAGGCCAAGGGATATTCGCAATTCGATCATACACTGACGAAAAACTCTTTTCCTTTCTCCGGGCAAGTCACCAAGAAGTGGAAGACTCCTATCAGAGATACATCCAAAACAGGAGGAGTGGGAGTCCAAGGGTGCTGGTGTCAAATCGACAGCACGCCGCTGAGGTTCTGACACGGCTCGCGCCACTTAAACTGGTGGATGGAGCCTGGCTAGGTCTCACTAATAATATCAACACGCCTTTCGCACACAGACGCATCACAAAGCAATTATGGCAGATTCTCTCTGAGGAGCTTGGGGATGGAATATTAAGCTTTCATCACACATACATCTATAATGAAATGTTGAAGGGTCTGGACGTGAAATTACTGGAACCGTATAAGCGAGATTTTGGCGAAAAAATACCCAACACGAACGATAGACGGGCTTTCAAAGCGGCAGTAGTACAACTGCTCATTTCATTGTTCCCGCAGGACTTTTTACCTGAGATTATTGGGTTTAATCTCCATTTCGAAGGATTTAGTTTTGAGACGATGACTTTGGCACGCGAGCTGCAGGAGCTCAAGATTGACGCGCAATATTTCCTACTTCAGGTCACTATGAATAACGCGCATTCTGGGCATGCTATGATGGCAGCATCTATTGTAACCCAATATCTAGCGCAAGTTGTGCGTGGGGAAGGGTCTGAGGCTGCAGAGATTGCTTGGAGACGTGTTCAGGCAGGATATGCGTTATCTAAGCATCTTGGGAATGGCATTGAGTCGGCGGTAACCGAAGACGGAGGGGACATTGATTACTATGCGGAGAACAATGACATCCCCGGACCATATGATGAGGAAGTTGGAAACCTTCTGATTGCGAAAGCAGCAGTGGCGCAGAAGATTCACACTGCATGCCCCGCTAGAATCGGTGGTAAGCCATTGTCTGACTGGCTGAATACCAGTCATATCACATCCGATAGCAGCAAACTGGATTTCCTTCGAGAATTGAGCGACGCTGCCCCATGGGTGGTCAGGGGCAATCCAGATAAGAGTAGGTTGATCCAGGAAATGCGCCGCGGAGGGAAAATGTTTGGAGCTTTCACACTAAAGGAGGTGAATCTGTTAGAACGTTGGATAAGCTCTATGGACCCCCGGGCAACTGGAAATGATGTACAGGCTGATTACTGGAGGTTCACTGGGCGAAAGAGATTTCGTCAACATCCAACTCTGGCGCCATCTCCGGACCCATTTTTGAATTTCGATTGTTCTGAATACCCTGCTCTTCCGCTTGGCGAAGATTTCACTCACGACCCTCTGTTAATCAATTTTGACAAGAACTGGCCCAAGTTTATCTCCATGTGGTTTGCCCACATCTCTCTCCTAGAGTCGGTTGTCACGGTTCCTTCTCGTGTAGCCACCGAATTGGGTGCAGCCGTTACTCGCACTCTTAGGGCTCAGTATGGCCTCAGCCCTGAGGCAGATGGGATATTTGGCATGGACGAGATCCACCACACTGTCAGCGCCTCTACTCCCGATCTCGTCGATATTGGACTCGAGATCCTATCTTGCAAGGGTATAAACCCTCTGCCAAATTCATTATCGGATATTCTCACACAGTCTCCGTGTGAATTTTCATTAAAAATATTAAGCGCTTCAAAATATCCTGTGAGGAATGGTGAGATCCTCCTAGGAATGCTATTGACTTTTCTGGATTTGCAGAAAGCTGTGTTAGAGTGCCCAGGACTGCTCTCCGAGGTAGGGAAGCAGGCGTTAGAGGGAATTATTGAGAGGGAGACGACCTGTTTGAGGACATGTCGTGATTTGTTTGCGGCGGATAAAAGGAAAGGGGAGCTATTTGCCGCAGGATATTGGTTAGCGAGGACGGAGATTTACAAGAAATTAGGTCATAGCCTTCTATTCATTCATGACTAGGCAGTAGCAATGCCTAGCCAGAAACTTATCCCTATCACATACCTCTGTTCGCTCCGGTCAGGATTGAATTGACACTGGCACACCATACTATTTTTAGAGATTCGCAGGCATCAGTAGCAAGCGCTAAGAGTTGAGATTATAGCCTAGGAACAACAAAAATAATAGTCTTTATCTATTCGCAGGCAATACATATGTTCTGTCCAGAAAATATTGTATGCCAAAGGCTGCAGCAAGCTTTACATGTATACCACAAGTAATTAAACCGTATATATCTCATGGGTTTTCGTCTGGCGGACCCTCAGGTTTCTCCCGACATCTACTCACAAGAGCAGCTAACTATCCTGAAAGTCAGCATAACGGCAAGGTCACACAAGAAGAATAGAAGTAGAAATAGGGAGAATTCAAATTCACATTCAAGGATGTCGAGCTTTCAAGACTACAATTATACAAGGGCCGAACTCTATACAATGCCGACCTGAACTACGACTGAGTCGGGAGCGCTAGATAGAATAGGAAAACTTGTGATGGCTGGCAAAAAAGTAGGTGCGTATCCAGGTGTATCTACTAGTACTTTTGTCTGAATGACACTTTCACTAGATTTCTGTACCAGATGCCTCACTGGTCAGTTTAAGACCTTCCTACGTATCTCATGATGCCAGTTTGAGAATGAGTCGAATTGAGTGTAACAATGCTCTGGTTATACACCACGAGCAAATATGCTCGACAGTCATATAAGAGTGTTAATTAGAAAACTTCATCGATAATGAAGTTGACCTTCTCTTCACGATCGTGACTTTCTGTCGGGCCGAAGCTGGAGAAGAGCAAAGCCTTATAATGCGCGATATTTGCCTCTGGCATACTCTGTTCAAGAGGTCGCACCCACGTAATCCTCGTACCTGAAGGCGAGTTACAGAAGTTGATGGAGATATTGATCTGTGAGGATATTATTAACATTGGTTTCTACCTAGTGATCAGAAGCAGTATTAAGGACATGTGCCGAATTTGAGTTCCCGAGGTAAACATGACACTTGCTAGGCATCAGAGTAGCCGATCGCTGTCTCAGCGACTGGTGCAGCCAGTAGGCCTCACAGCCAAAAGTTCCGTCCATTAGCCGGACACCATTGTATATCCAAGCGCTGGAGTGCGTTCTGCACAGTACCAGGCTTGCACGAGTAACATCATAACTGGCTGTCCTCATCCTTTATCCTGAACAACTCCTTCTAGGTCCTGTTAAAGAACGCTTCGTCGGTTCTCCTTACTGTTTCTCAAAAACACCTGACTCGCCGAAGCCGACTGTTCTCAAAGCCAGAATAGTCCCACGATAAACTCCAACATGACTTCAGTGCCGGATACGCTTGAACTCAAGCCTTACCACCGGACTTCACAAACCGCTCATAATGCTCCATACTGTTCTTATGCGTCATCTCCAGCGAACTCAACTTTTTCTCCAACCCCGACACATCCGACTTGAGTTCCGCCTTCTCAGCCACCAAGCGTTTATCAACCGTCGACATCGGGACACCCACGAACCTATTGCAAGTCGAAGTCAGCGCCATGTCTTTCTCTTCCAATGCCGAATTCATGCGAAGAATAGATCGTCCAAGGTAGAAGCCCACTCACATCTTCCCTACACCTTCATAGACAGGCGTGTCCTTAGGCAATGAGCTCATCTCATTGGATGTCAAGTCTAGCAGTCTGATAGCCTTCTGTTTTGTGGTCACTTGGGCCTTGGCGATTCCGATCTGTTGCTGGGAGGTGACTATACGGTTTTCGAGTTCTTGGAGAAGCTGAACATCGAATTTTGCCATTAGCTAGGGGTTCCATCGATGTATTAGGTGTTTAGTAGGCTACCTTTTGCAGGGCTTCATTCGGGAGAGACATTTTGGCACGGTAGAGGAGTGGTTAGGTATGAGGGGTTTAGTGAGGGGATGCAAGTCGCCGTCGTGGGATGTTCAAGAAAGTGAGAGATTGCAAATAGTTGCGATTAATAAGTGTTCGCAGTTGGTAGCAAGGTGTGAGCTAGGAGTATGATTGGCTCGGGCAAGGTTTATAATATTTGTTATTGTATAGAGGCAAGACGGAGGCTCGGGGATGAACTTATCGGCGGCCAAAGCTCAGTTGACTCCGCTGTCCGCCCAGTGGGGCGTTATACAGATACGGGTATTACTTAGGGCTTAGGGCTTCAAGGTACATATACGGAGTTGTACTCGACTGGCACTTTTTATTCGTTCAGGTTGGTTGGAGATGATACCGTTCAAAGAAATGCCAGTGGATGATGTCAAAAGTTGGGCTGTGCGCGATATACAAATCCAAGCACATGCGAAGGTTGCTACCCAATATACCGTTTGGTCAATCGCTCAACTCCATTTCCAACAAAGCGGACTGACAATATCCTAATGATATAGAAGAAGTACCTGGATCAGCAATTTTGACTCGGGTGTGCTCAGTACATCATAGAGGCTCGCATCTTGTTATACTCTGTCTGTGTAATTGGTTTGTACTTGGCGGGTTGGTCCTCGCTCATACACGATGGAATACATTCAATTACAGATTTCGGGTCTGGAGACATAAAGTAGGGAATCGAGAACCGCTCGCGAGTCATCCGATTTGGACCCTCATAGCGATCGGCGAGTGGTGGCATTCTGACCCTGTGGTTTGTAGACCTGAGTCGGTCTGTCTGGATTAGACCATATATTGTCGCACTGTGCCAAGCGGAATAGGGCACTTACCATTACTCCACATTTGAAGAAGGTCACCAACATTTACCACAATGGCATTCTTCAAGGGGGGTGCAGGAACGAATGTACCAGGCCACGAAACATCTTCAACCTCCAGACCCCCGCAATCGTCTTGAATTAGCATAGTTAAAGTACTCCAATCCGTATGCGCTGGACAACGGGCTGTCCGCTCTTTCTCAAGATCCTCGGCTGGAACGGGCAAGTAATGTAGTAGCCGTAGTTGATTATCATGTCCCGAATGCTTGTTGACTAGGTAAGAATCGTCCTCTAGATTCAATCCAATGGCTAGAGCACGTAAAAGCTCCTTGCCGACTGCCCAGCATTCCCAATAGAACTTGATCATAAAAGCCCTGAAGCCCGCGAGGGCCTCGTCTGGTATCCATTGATTGGGTTGGTCAGTGTTTTCATCACTCCCGATATCATATACTTCCTGTAGCACTGTAAGATAAGGGCCTTGTCCTTTCAATATTATTCCAATGCATGACTTTGTTATACGAGGCAAGCCATAACATACTTTGACATCTGGGATCTCTCGCAACCTTTTTTTTGCCTCTTCATCATTTCCTGTGGGCATCGTCTGGGAAACTTTCTCCAATCCCGGCCATGAGTAACCCCGATGCACTGCCCAACCTTCAGGATGGGGCGCTTTCATCTTCTCCTCTTCAGGAAGATTGAAAAGACGTTTCATCCAATCAAATGCTTCATCCAGGACAGGCTCGGGCAACGAGTGGTTGATGATGTAGACAAAACCCACGGTTTGGCAGGCTTTGACAAGTTCTTGTGCCGTTCTTAGCCGAGAGGCTTGGTCCTGAGTATTCTTCCAGGATGTGAAATCAACTATAGGTATTGCCATTGAGGCTGAACCATCTCCTGGCGACATGCTCGCCGGCGATACGTTATAGACGTCTGTCAATTATTGAACTCGGAAACCCACTGAATTACAGCATAAAAGAAGTTATTCGTCTCGCCTTGTTAACTTTGTGGGCAATGTATGGATTCTCCATAGATATGGTGGAGACGATGCTAGAGTTGAGATGTGATGACATTCCCCTCAGTCACATGTCACCCACCACTGATGCGTCCTGTTTTATAATTTATCTCTTTATCCGCTAACATACTTTGAGCGCGAAAACTACATGGCTTAGCTCCTCTTGAAATTAAGCAAGCACTAGTGATGGTTTAGAAAGTGCGGTCATTCCAAAATGTTGGGTTCAAGATTACCTACAAGCAATTACTCAGAAAGCTCTTAGTTCGCAAGTTAAAGTATCCAATTTGGTGTGAGATTTCATGAAAATTTCTCTCAAAGTGAGCTCAACACTTGCCCACAGGCAAATTACCTGAGCGCAATGTCGTCTTCAGTGGGCGTAGCGCAGGTCCTTGTGGAAGTGCACTAAATGCGTCTACCTTGTCGTCACATCCGAATAATATTTGGAAAGGTGGGCGATGAACCATATTAGAGCAAGGTCGCGTTAGTGCACATCGTATCGACTGCCAAGATCACTGGTTTTCGATGTCTTTGCCAGCATCGAAAGCCCCAGATAATTTGACATACCCTGAGGCGGAGGTCGTCTGGTTCTTTTCAGAGAGATCGTGTCGGTTAGTTGACAGGGATTTGCAGGCCACGTTCACTATTCAACACCTTCCTCAGCATGCTATATCTCTTACTAGTCTTAGACTCTAGTGTTGTGATAAGAACATTTCTAAGCATAGCACTGATTCGGTTGCCCCCACCGCTGCCATGCCCGTCGCCTCATTGCCCTCAATCATGCGTGCGGGCACCCAGTGTGGAGAATATCTCCCTCGGCTCCAACATATATCTAGCTAAGGTGTTTATTAATGTATAGATCAGTGTACCAGTTGGACATTAAATAGCTCATTGAATCTAGGGCATTTGGCTCGCTGACTGGTTGTTATGTTCACCTTTGAGGCCTCAAAAAAGGAACGGTGAAACCGAGACCCATTACTTTGTGAAGTATAGTGTTTCCGCATGTACAGTTAGCAAAATTACTCACTACAATGAGTTTCCGGCGACCGACCTTCCCGGGCTTGAATGCTGAGTTGGTTTGAAGGATCTTCCTGGCTTTGGAGAGGATTTCTGATCTGTGGGGTGTGGATGGCTAACAGAAGTACAAGCCAGGATGTCTCTGTGTTGATTTGTAAAAAGCTCGATGAGGCACTTGCACTTATATTGAACGTCGCATCCTGCCAAACATCCACACCTTGCAGAATTCAAAAAAGCCAGTAGAACCGAGTACTTCCACACTGAAATACCTCCTATCTATACATACCCATTCATCGTCCCTAAGTAATTGTCTAAACATGTCCGCCCACATGCTGCCCTCACACGCCCGGCAACATATGTAATAGTTTGTTCACCTCAATAGTGACTATCATATTGTAGACTGATCAGACGGGAGTTCCGACGGAGACCGGATTGCATGCTCAACTAAGATACGGGCTTCCTGTGCCGGTCGGGCATGGTGTTTGGGTCAAATTTCGTGACTTTTAGAAGCCGCCTATCCGGGAAAACCATGGAAATATATATTGAATTTGGTAAGGAGAGTGTTAAGAATAAGTAGGAACTTACTACTATACCTTGGCAGTTCAACGTTTAGACCTACAACGTTACGTGCTGTTGTAATACAGCCGCTTTTCAAGGTTAAGAAAGTCGTATCAAGAAGTACCCGGTGTGGGAACTCCAGTAAGAGATGGAAAAGCATGCATTGTCTCAGAGTTCATTTTTGGAGAGCAATCTTAAACGTTAGACTAACGATATGTAAGTAAATCCATTTACCCCATTACATATTTTCTTTTTTTATTTTCCCTTTCCCTTTCCAAGTATGAGAATCGGTAGGAAACAGTGGTAAAGCTGCACGGGCTGCAGCGGAGTATGTTTATCAAGAAATGCACCTTGATGTCAAAGGATTATATTAATAGCCGGGCAGGTGGTTGGACAATGGGTGGACACGCGGTTGCTGTGGCAGGGATCCCGGTGGAGATTGCGCCTAACTGCCAGAACAAGTACAGCCCGATGCAGAATACATCATCCACCCGACTCCGGTCACCGGTACCGTGGCCGACCGTTCTCGAAGATATCTGGAGCTGGAATTTAGCCACTGAGTGTAAGTTTGCTTTTCATACATACCCGTCAATTTGAATGTTGCTTTGTTTCGAGTCTTGCGACCACCCATTAACACTACGGTTGCCGCTTTTAGTAGTTTGTTGACCGCATGGTATTCTTACTGTCGCATACCGCACAACACCCAATCCCACCAAGAATCCTGATCGAAATTTAAACCGAACGCCAATCCCGGGATCTATATACAATCCAGTGGGCGGACTCTAGCCCTAGCCGCTAGAATGAAGGTATTTGGGTGGATCTCGGTCGCATTCTTCGCTTCGACTGTGTTATCGATAGAGACGTTGCCATTTTCTCCTCCGCAATCCGCCGAAGCAAACAAAAGGGCATATGAAGTCTTACGTATATTAAAGCGGGCTGACAGCTGCCCGGCTGGGTATGACCCATGCTCCAATATGGGTAGATCCGACGTCTGCTGCAGACAAGGTTCCGTCTGCTCTCGTGACGCCGCCGACAATATTGCCTGCTGTCCGACTGGAGCGAAATGTACAGGCTCACTTAGCGGAGACTTCACCTCTGCCTCGACCAGCTTCAGGTTCCCAGGAACCGCAACTGCTTCTATGACCACCACGGGACCCAATGATGCTACCATTACTGGCTCGACGATGCCAGGCGCTTATCCGTTCGTCTATGTCCCGACGACGTTCCCTAACGCCGGTGTATGCTCCTCATACTACTCCTTGTGTCAAAGTGAGTACACTGGTTGTCTTTCGAGTCTAGGAGGAGGCTATGCAGTCACGGTGGCAGCTGAGGGTGGAGGTGTAACCAGAGCTGGCGGAGGGGCAGCTGGGGCAGTCTCTACCTGTTCTAGCTTGAGTATGGATGCCTGCCATGGCCTCAATCTGGGTTACTGCGACACGTATGCGACTGGAACTGGAGACATGAACAGGGCACCCCCGGGACGGACCTCTAGTCTGGAAGATCTCGTCTTTGGCATGGTAATTGGCGTGGCCGGTATGTTTATTTGATTAGCGTTGATGCTTTTACGTTTCTTCATGGTGGATATGCGATATGAAAATATTTTTTTTGTTCTTTCTCTTTTACCTACATGTTACAACAGATTGATCTCCTGGAAGTTGAACGAATGGGGCGTCTTTCACGCACATATTACATGAAAGCTTATGGCTGGACTTTTACTTGGTTTGACCTCGTATGTATGCTTTTCTTTTGGAGAGGATGGAGGATGATTGAACGATGTTATGGTTCAGAGTTATGCTAAGGTGTAAATCTACTGTTCTGGGGCGTTTACATATGTACATATCTAGGATAAGGGGACATAAGATCCCAACATTACTGTCTGAACCATATAACCCAGGGTATACTGATGACCGGAATTGGATTAACCTGATACCTTGTACCAGGCACTGAAACACGCACAAAGATGACATACAGAGAGAGTACTGACAGATACCAAGGCATCACACCGCTTCATTGTCGTAAATAGTGTAATACCTTGAAATACACCCATCGTACATTTGCTAGCGCTAGTTTCATGCATGAATAACTAGGCTAGAAAAAAGCTAGTCTGGACCACAGCATCGGATAATCTTCCACCGGTGTGTTGTCCCCGATTCATCCGCTTTGCTGGCAAGGCACTAAAGCGTGACGAGACAACACATAGGCATAGATGGAGTATGGAGTAGTTGGGATTGACGGCGATAGACTCGGCGTGGGGCCACTCGAATAGATACCTCAGAGGTGATTCTATAGATCGATCTTGTCGAATAGAAGCGGGGGATCCTCGCACACCGACTCGAGTTACTTGACGCGCGATTTAGTTCAGGTTCCGTCTTTGTCCCGCTGGTAATAATGGAAAATTAGTATGAAACTGATGTCAGGCACGGAAGGCAAAAATGGCCAGCAAGAGCAATGATTGACTGAGTCATGTCTCTGCCGTTTCTCCAATACAGTGAGGGGCACAGCGTCCAATGCATTGCGACGATAAGATCCAACACAAGGAAAAACCAGGGACTCTCCCAGCCCCCTCTTTTTCAATGAAGGAAAAATTAGAAATTCCTCTCAATGAGTAAACTTTGATGTCAGTACCTCATTTGGGCTTTTTTTTCTTGTCTAAAGGTAGCGATTGGCTGTTGCTGTTATTTTGTTGCAGGAAATCCCGGTGGTTGGGTAGTATACGGGAGGCTGGGAAACAGGGCTTCAAAGCAGAGCTGACGGTCACTTACCGTCTCTCGGTCACCCACGAGGATTACCCCCCTCATCCACCCCCTCATTCTTTTCTCTTCAAAATTCCTTTGTCACTTTTTGCTTGTCATGCTTGCTTTGACATTTTCTCTGACGTGGTTACGAAGTTGAAGATTGTTGTCTTTCGTTTACAAGCTCTTATCGATACCGACCCATACATAGTCCGGGGTGACCGGTCTAGTCAAGTTTGAATAATATCATCAACAGTGCTCGTGGTTTATCGGACTTGGTGAGGGACTGAACGAGTTTGGCACTCTTCTCGTGATCCCGGCACATATCTCCGTCCACCATGCACACTTCTCGCATATTACATTCGGCGATATCCATACTGACTCTATTGGCGCAAGTTCAGCGCTCTGCTGCGTCCCCTCTGGATTTTGATGAGACCGGCCTCGAAAAGCGCTGCGCAAACTCCTGTGGCTATTATGGCCAACTCTGCTGCAGCTCCGGTCAGACGTGTAGCACCGATGGCAATGGCCAGGCAGTCTGTGCAGATTCTTCCGGTGGCAGCTGGCAGTACTTCACCACAACTTTCGTCACCACGGAAACCGATGTGTCGACAATTACATCTACATGGAGCAGTTATGTAGGACAGACTACAACTGCTGGGGGTGGCTCAGGGAGTTGCAAGGCCGAACTGGGCGAAACCATTTGCGGAAACACCTGTTGTGGTGCGGCGTACGTCTGTTCCAACAACCAATGTGTGATGGGAAGTTCATCAATTTGGGCCACCGCTACCGCTACACCTCCAGTACGAGGCACAAGTGCGTCTACTATTACTGCGACTGCATCGGCGACAACCACACAGGGATTTGTTGCTCCTGTTGGCACCGACGGAGCCACACTCATCGGCGAAAAAGCACCAGACAATGGAGGACTAAGCGGTGGGGCAATCGCAGGTATCGTTATCGGAACAATTGCTGGCGTCTTTCTTCTCTTGCTCCTTTGCGCCTGCCTGTGCTGTCGGGGAGCTCTGGAGGCTTTGTTTGCTTGCCTGGGTCTTGGTGGTAGAAGAAGAAGAAAGGAGACCACATATGTGGAAGACCGGTATTCCCATCATGCGCATGGTGGCAGGCCTGAACGACGTACATGGTTCGGTTCGCGTCCGTCAGCTCCACCGCCGCAGACTGGCGAAAGAAAGAGATGGGGCGGGTTGGCAACTCTTGGGATTATGTTGGGCGCGCTTGCTCTATGTCTGGGACTGAAGAGGCGCAGAGACCACGAGGATGAAAAGAGCGATTACACTTACCCGAGTTCATACTACTACTCTGATTATTACACCAGCGCAAGTATGTGTCCTCTTCTTTTGACACTAATGGATCTATAGCCCTTACTGACTGCTCCATAGGTAGCGCAAGCTCGGATAGACGAACGAGACGGACAAGGGACACCAGGCAATCCAGACGATCTCGCACGCGCTCACGACGATCATGATTAACGAAGTGATACAATGAATATCTATCAACGAGTCGCATAAGACTATGAACCTGTTTATGATTTTTTGTTTTCTTCTTTTCCCCATTCCCTTTTGGTTCCCTATCGAGCATAGAATGGCGCCGGTTTGGTATTTTCTGCGTTGTTTGTATTACCATGTTTCGGTTGCCTTGCGTCAAATCCCCCGTACACTTGTTCTCCTTTTTTTCTTTTTCTTATCTGAAAGTTGATATGTATGATGATGAGCTATGTATCCATGTTCTAATGACCTGTCCATTTTTTGTCTCCCTTGTTTTCGGATATATTTTGACGGGGACAATGAAGGAACGATGTAAATACGAAACAGTGCAATGACAATTATGTCATCTTGCCAGAGATACTGAGTAATGAAAAGTCTTGATCGGAAACATTTGGATAGGTTATTTGTGTATGTAGCTGCAGGAACCGGAGTATATTGAGTTTAGACCAAAAGATATGAACGCAAGGTCCAGACTTTAGACAGCAGGACTGAGAGGGTGGACAAAATCATGCGCTTTCTGCACCGTAATGACAGGCACATGTACCGAATACCTCTGTTCGAAACTACCGCAATAGGACCCTGCACCTGCCGGAAGAACTCGTGCGACATTCTGTGTAACGTGTAAGGCGGCGAATTCGCGGAGGGACCTTGGCACCTTGGTATTGTATGCTAAGGAACCACTTCAGGAAACTATTTTTAGTTGAGATTGGAGCAAGACTAAGAAGCATGACCGGTAAAAGAGAGACTGAGCCGGAACACCTAATTATACTATCAATGTCAAAGCTACTTCAAAGGGCGCTTAGTTAATGAAGCTTGAGACTGTTTTAAGCGGGCCGCGCACGGCTTTCAAGCATCAAGTCAATGCTCGGCCGGAACTTGCGTTCTCCCCGCCTCCCGTAGTCCGGAACTTCCTCAACTTCTCCATCCATCGCTCACACATCATTCTTCAACACGCCGAATCGCGCACTTTATATTCAACCCTCAAGCAAATAACCACGACAAAAAACCTGTCATTCATGAATTTAATTTCGGGTGCAAATCCTTGACAATAGAAACCTTTCCCTCGACGTCTCATTCCTTGTATCTCTGTCTCCCGTCGCTCAGAGCTGCCACGACTGTCCTCCTGAGGATTACGAGTCCCCGATCCTTCACCAGCCCGTCATGCTCCAGACGCAGACTCAGCACGTTTTTTCCCATCAGCATCAATACCCCGCTGATCCCTCCTGGCTGCAACATCAACAACAGCAGCAGCAGCAGCAGCAGCAGCACCATCAAGCCCAGCACCACCCACACCAGGCCCAACAACAGCATTCTTCCTTGGTGGCCCAACAGCATGCCCAAGTGCAGGCCGCTGCGGCGGCAGCGGCGGCGGCCCAGCAACAACACTATAATCGCATCGCTATGGCCGGCAACCCTGCTGCTGGAAACCCAGCACAGGGTGCGGGTGCTGGAGGGTTGAGCGGGGATGGCGCTCTCCCGGGCGCGGTATCGGTGATGGATGGTGGGATTAGTGATGAGAACCGCAAGGTTTTCATCTGGGTTGCCGAACTTCTGGATCCAAACCGCAGAGAAGCTGCTCTTATGGAACTAAGTAAGAAGCGAGAGCAGGTTCCTGAGTTGGCCCTCGTCATTTGGCATTCGTTTGGTATGAACTGTTTCTTACATGTGGCGACTTGTCGACTTGTCGACTTCATGGATGCTAACGAGTATGCTATTGTAGGCGTCATGACTGCTTTGCTCCAGGAGATCATCTCTGTATACCCCTTGTTGAACCCCTCTCAGTTAACCGCCGCGGCTTCAAATCGAGTATGCAACGCACTGGCTCTGTTACAATGTGTCGCCTCCCACAACGAGACCCGCACATTATTTTTGAATGGTGCGTAGCAGTTCATGCTTGCTTGCAACGCTTCTTGGCTGACGCAAACACTCCAGCTCACATCCCGCTTTTTCTTTATCCTTTCCTGAATACGACCTCCAAATCTCGCCCGTTCGAATATCTCCGCCTCACCTCTCTTGGTGTGATCGGAGCGTTGGTAAAGAATGACTCTTCCGATGTCATCAACTTCCTTCTCACAACTGAGATAATCCCCCTTTGCCTCCGTATCATGGAAACCGGTTCGGAGTTGAGCAAAACAGTTGCTATCTTTATCGTGCAGAAAATCTTGCTTGATGACATTGGTCTTGCATATATCTGTGCGACATACGAGAGATTCTATGCTGTGGGGACTGTTCTGAGCAACATGGTCACCCAGCTCGTGGAGCAGCAGACCGTAAGGCTTCTGAAGCACGTTGTGCGCTGCTTCCTTCGGTAAGTTCTAGGCCACATATGATCAATGGCTGGACAACACCTTCCATTTGTGAACAGTCCCTAACCATCTGTAGCCTGAGTGATAACAGCAGAGCGCGTGAGGCCTTGCGCCAATGCCTTCCCGAGCCTTTGCGAGATGCCACTTTCTCCTCCGTTCTCCGCGATGATGCAGCCACGAAACGTTGTCTCGCACAGCTTCTTATCAATCTTTCCGATAATGTCTCCGATGGCGCTCCGGGTGTTGCCATGTAAAAAGTCGAAAAAGTATTGCTTCCATTTTGAATTACTTGGTATATTTGACAACCTTACGATATGCATGGGACGGTCTAAGGCGAATCTGGGTCATAAGGCGCAAATGTGTGAAAATGGCAAAATAACGGTATAACCAAGAAAGAAAAAAGATTGGGAGAGGAGCACCGGGCTGGGGATTTATGTGACCACTATGTAACAAAGTTTGTTCTTGTGTTTGTTTCCTGTCGCATTTTTCTTTCTCTATATTTTTTTTTTTTTTTTTTT